GGGGTGTATCTCAGAGAATAGAAGGGAAGAAGGCATAGCTGGACTTTTGAGACTTGCTATTTTTTAAACTTATTTTTATTTAAGAGCAATGGTATTTTGCCTACATGTATGTTCTGTATGAGAGATCCCTTGGAACTGGAGTTACAAACAGTTGTGAGCTGCCACGTGGGTGCCGGGAATTGAGCCCAGGTCTTCTGGAAGAGCAACCAATGCCCTTAACTGCTAAGCCATCTCTCCAGCCCCAAGGGACTTGCTTTTTAAAAATACACTTGCGTGGCAATTACCGATAGCCAGTTGGAAATATGGAAAACTGGATGAGAGGAAGTTTGTGGAGTTTTTCAATATTTAGGATATAGAAAGCAAATAAGAGAGACAAATAGGATGACGCACGGCTACAAGCTCACGCTGGGGCAGCAAGATCACCAGACAGAGGCTAGCCTAAGCTACACGATGAGTTCCAGGTCACATAACAAGACTCTGTCTCTAGAAGAAAGGAAAACTAAGCAGACATGATAGGGTGTTATTTTTCACAAGAAGGAGATTGAGAACCTGTGTTTTTGACCCTAACCACAGTAGCTCAGTGGATGAGGAGAAACTGAGGAAATATTTTGTTCCCAACCAACGCAATCAAATTACAGAGCCTGATAATTTCCTTGTTAGGCTTCTAGTTTGGCCGTCGACTCTTTACTGAGTCAAGAATGTACTGCAGCCAGCCCTGGAGGTTAAGCTTTAAAAACAATGGTCAGTAAGATATGAAAAATTATTCTGTGTTCATTTTATTTCCAGATTTCACTCTAGAGATGGTGAGTGAGGGAGCGAGGCACATCTTTGTTCTGAAGCTGACTAACAACAGGGCATGCTGGGAACTCAGAATTTTGAAGGGTCAGGAGAAGGGCTCTGGAGAAGTGATGCCCAGGGTGAGGCAAAGGCCTATCTTGGCAAAGGAAGCCAGGAGGTAAGAGCGTACATGAGAGTGGGAGGTCCTTCTGTGTGGTGGGGGCATCGCCCATGAGATGATGATGAACAAAGAGGTTGGTTGTGGGTTACGCATTGCTCAGTGATGGAGTGCTTGCCTTGAGTTCAGTCCAAAGCCAAAAAACACAACACCTTCTTTAGAAAGAAGGGCCTTCTTTCTATAAAGAATGATGTGTACATTTACTGCACAAAGTGAGACACGGGCAATATTAATACAACAATAGGAATAAACAAAGAACAGCCTATCAATTCAGGAATTATAGTCACTCTACTTGTAAGTCATGTTCACCCAGCAAAAGTGCAGAAAAATGTGTCTTTTTAAAATAATTTATTTAATTTTATTTTATGTGCTTTAGTCTGAAGGTGTCAGACTCCTTGGATCTGGTGTTACAGACAACTGTGAGCTGCCACATAGGTGCTGGGAATTGAACCTGGTTCCTTTGGAAGAACACACAGTGCTCTTAACCACTGAGTCATCCCTCCAGTCCCAGGATGCGTCTTTTTTAATTTTTATTTAAAAAAAAAAACTGTCAGATTTATTTTATGTGTATAAGTGTTTTGCCTGCCTGTATGTGTATCACTTATATGCCTGGTGCCCATGGAAGTCAGAAGGTGCTGGATCCCTCAAAACTGGCGTTACAGGTGGTTGTGAGCTACCATTTGGGCCCTGGGAATCAAACCTATGTCCTCTGTAACAACAGTCAGTGCTCTTAAGCACTGAGCCATCTCTCCAGTCCCAGGTAGTCTTTTATTTTCACACACACACACACACACACACACACACACACACACACACACACACTTTAGCTGTGCCTTTTGCCTTTTTTGCTTCTGTGTTTTGATAGAGGAACTCCCCATGTAACCCTTGACTGGCCTGGAAAGCTATGATATGGACCAAGCTGGCCTCAACTTGCAGCAATCCTCCTGCCACTGACTCCTGAGTGCCAGGGTTCAAGGCGTGTTTCATTATATCTGGCCATACCTTTGTTCTTATTCATTTCACCAGTATCTGCTGGTCCTACCTTTCTGGGTGCTGAGGTTACAAAGAGAAAGGAACTTCTGTTCTCAAGCCGAGAAAAACACAAAGAAACAATTATACTCCTTACACAATCTGAGCCCTGAGCTCTCCACTGAGCAGACTCATATTGTCACGTCCAGTTAGTGCACAAAACATAGATCGCAAACAAAACTTAGTTCCTCCTCCAAGTCTTCCCCTTCTCTTCTGATGGTCTTTCAATGCCACTAACCCTACACTGCTTAAGGAAGAAATCAAGGGTAGTATTGTCTCCATCAGTGTTATTCTTCCTTTCAGTGGAAATTTTATTCTTTATATTTTGGAGTGTGTGTATGTGTGTGTGTGTGCTTATGTGCATGCATATATGTATTCATGTATATATCTGTCCATAAACGAAGACCAGAGGTTGATGTTGGGTGTCTTCCTCAATTGCTTTCCACCTTATTTTTTTTGAGGCAGGGTCCCTCCTGAAACTCATCAATTTGGGTACGCTGGCCAGCCAGTGAGGGTCATGCCTGTCTCAACACTCCCCAGTGCTGGGGTTATTAGGGAATAGAGTACTGGTGCTAGTGATCTGAACTCAGGTCTGCATGTTTCTGTAGAAGATACTTCCCTGACTGAGGCATCTCCATGGCCTCTTCATTCTTTTTTGAGAAAGTATCTATCAATGAACCTAAAGTTCATTGATTTAGCTAGGCTGCCTGACCAACATGCTCCAGGGATTCTCCCATCTCCTTCCCATGCTGGGGCTACAGCACTGGTAACACCTTCTTTGGGGTACTGAGGACCAAACCCAAACACTTCACAGACTGAGCCATCCTACCAGCCCGAAGATTTTAATTTGTAGTGCATTAATTTTTAAGTTAGCCTATACATAATGGGTTGCATTATCCCATTTTCACACCTATATGTCATCACACTTTGTTGTATCCTCTTGGACACATTTTAATTAATTTAACTTTCATCCTCCTTGGACATTTTAACTTATCTGCTTCTTCCTTCCTTCCTTCCTTCCTTCCTTCCTTCCTTCCTTCCTTCCTTCCTCCTTCCTTCTTTCTCTCTCTCTCTCTCTTTGGCTTATTGAGACAGCGTTTCACTGTGTAACCTTGGCTGTCCTGGAACTCACTCTGTAGGCCAATCTGACTGCAATCTATCTGTCTCTGCCTCCCAAGTGCTGGGAATAAAAGCATGCACCACCACGCCTGGCTTATCCATTTATTGAGACAGGATCTTACACACCAGACTGGACTGTAATTTTCTGTGTTGCCCAGGTTGGCCTGCTCTGTGATTGGATTATTTCAACCCTTCATGGAATTCTATCACATCCCAGTGAAACCCAAAATCCAACCAAAGTTTACCAACGGATACTTGATTTGGGTCCTGGCTATGTTTCCCATATTTCTGTAATCAGTCTGTTCCAGCCACTCTGACCTCCTTGCTCCTTCTCCATGCCAACCAAATCCACGTACGAGCACCACTGTACTTGCTATGTCTCATCTATGGTTCTTTCTAGAAATCCATTAGCTTCTGCTTCTCATTCAATAATAGAATTTCTGCTTGTGTGCTGTGTCTGTTATGAGGCCTTTCTCCCTATCCTGAGTAAAAGAAAATTTCTGTATCACAGTTATCCCATGATATCTGATTTATTTCCCATAAAAATCACACTATGAGGCATCGTTTATTATTTATTATTTATATATTAATATTTAATATGCTTATCTTTAATTATTTATTCTATGTAATACATGAACCTTATGAGCAAGAGAATGTGCTCTGCTCACCACCAAATTCTCAGCACTTAGAACAGTGGCTGTTCGCTGTGTATTTGTCAAATCAATGGGTTTGGAGATTCAGTAAATACAAAGTACCCTATAACACTGAGTGTTTATTTAACACGGTGGGGTGACTTTTACATGTGAATTTTAATGTTTTTTTCCTTTTTTTCACTTGTAGACCAGACTGACCTCAAACTCATGGCAATTGTCCTGCAGTCTTCCTGGATGTAAGCCACTCACTACATCCAGCTGAGAATTTTTTGTTTTAACAACAGACTTATATTAACCGTGTACCAAAAAAAAAAAAAAAAGAAAAAGAAAGAAGGAAGAAAAAAGAAAGGAAGGAAGGAAGGAAGGAAGGAAGGAAGGAAGGAAAAGAAAAGAAAAGAAAAAGAAAGAAAGACACCACACAGGCTGATAGCATATGATAAATGAGACAGACTTTAAAATAGATATACAGCATAACAGTTAAGATCAACCATGGTTGGAATTCCTTCCCCAACATTTGGTAGCAATGAGATCCTAAGTTATATTATATACTCCAGTGCCTAAATTTCCTCAGCTGGACCCTGGGGGCTGTAACAGTGCCTCCCTCAGAAAGTTGCTTTAGGCGAGCGCGTATGTGTAACCGGCTTTGTACAATGCCAAGCATGCAGTAAGGAAGGACTCCACAGATGGAAGCTCTTATAAGAATCTAGACTAGTAGTAATAAGAGATTTTTGGGGACATACCTAGCCCTCAAGATTGACATCAGAGTGGACCACCACATCATCTTCCATGTGGGCATCTGAAGCCCAGAGAGGGGATGGGTCTTTCCAAAGAAGGCAATTTCGACGTCCCAGAAGCATCAGAATGAAAAGGACCCTCTTCACTCCTCAAGCCATTCAGCCTGGGTAATCCATGAGCGGCACGGCGAGGCCCAGGCTCGCTATCCTCTGGCCCAGTGCCTGTGTAGCCTCAGTTTCCTCGTTTGCAACAGGACTGGAGTGAGACAGTTATGAGAAAATCCAGACTGAGCCAGCCGGGGCCGCCTTAGTGCACGGCACCGGGAAGCCCGTGGGAGCCCGGGTAGTGCCAGCGGGTCAGACCCCAGATCCGGCCGCCCGGCAGCGGGACACCACGCTCCCCATCCCCGGGCAGCGCCACCAGGACCCGCCCGCGGACGGAGCGGAGGCGGGGCAGCGGCGGCGTGCTCGCGACTGTGCGGCGCGGGGCCGCGCACGCAGGCCGGGGCGCGCACGCATAGGGGCTGCACGGCGCGCGCCGTGAGAGGCTCTTCGGCGCGGAGGTGCGAGACGTGGAGAGGTGAGGCGCGGGGCCGGGCGGCGGGAGCGGAGGCACGCGGGGTCACGAGGCGCGGGGCCGCCGGGGCCACGCGGCGGGGGAGGCTGGTGCGGCCGGCCGAGTCCGGGGCCCCTCCCCGCGCGCCTGGGCGGTGCGGCACCGCCGTGTTCCCGGCTGGGCGTTGGAGCGCGGCCCCGGCCCGCCAGACCGGCCGAACCCCCACGTGGGTCTCCGCGAGCTCAGGGTTTAGCACCGTTTAGTGACTGGTCAGGATGGGACAGCAGCAAGGGTGCTGTCTGCACAACCGCCAAGCCCTCCACTCCCCTCTGCCCCTCGCGGGGGTCCTGCCCCTCGGTCCGTTCCCAGCTCCCTCTCACAGTTCATTTGAATGTGCTCCATCTCTCCGGGATGTTAGTATCACTGCGAGGTCTTTTAAGAGAGGGAGGGAGATTTTGCTTTGCTGCAGCATTGTGCTTTGTGACATAAAGTGTTTGTCAGAGCGGATTCTGGCATCCTTGCTAGAACCCTGCTGTTCACCAGCCTGCAAAATCATTGTGCAGATACCCTTCCTTTCCTCTGGAAAAAAAAAAAAAGGAAAAGAAAAGAAACAGCCAGTGTTAGGAGATTGTTAGGATTCAAATATATTCATATATATGTAATATATATATGAATCCTAATATATATATATACATATATATGTGTGTTATATATAGTCCACATACAGTGATACCATTTAGTACCTATTGTTTTATTCCTGGGTGTATAATATCCCTTTGTTAAATTTTTCTTTTTTAAAATTTATTTTCTTTTTTAGTCAGCCTCATGTCTCTCAGGCCAAATTTGAACTTTTGTAGCCAAGAATTTCCTTGAACTCCTGATCCTCCTGCCTCTGCCCCTGAAGTACTGGGTTACTTGCTTATTTGATGCTGGACTTTAAATGTGAAGCATTCTTACACCCTACAGCTGAGCTGCTGAACTCACAACATTCATTCTTCTTCAAAGACCCAGTTTTCTTGGAGCCGTACAGAGGAAAAAACCCTACCCAAAAAGCCACCACCCAAAAATTGGCCCTTAGCCTTGTTATCTAAGCATCAGTCCTGAAGCTAAATAAAAGTGTCAGAGTGAAAACAGTATTTCTGGATAAATTAAGGTGAATTAGCCTTTTATAGAACTAACATTTATTTGCCCAGATTGATGTGTGCTTTGCTTTGGTTTTGGTTTGTTTGAGACAGGGTTTCTCTGTATAGTCCTGGCTGTCCTGGAACTCACTCTGTAGACCAGGCTGGCCTGGAACTCAGAGATCAACAACATTCCTCTGCCCCCTGAGTGCTGAGGTTAAAGGTGTGCGCCACCATCACCACTACCACCGGCTTGTTTTGTGATTTGTGTTTTGAGACAAGGTCTCACGAAGCACAAAATAGCTAGGGATGACTTTGAAGTCCTCCTGTTTCTACCTCCTGCTTGAAGGAGTAAGTTATTGAGCAGTATATGTTGTGTAGGATTCCTTGGTTTCCAGTAATAAAATTCAAATTTATGTTTTGAGACAGGGTCTTACTATATAGCCTTGGCTGGTGCAGAACTCACTGTAAAAAAAAAAAAAAAAAGAACTCACTATAGACCAGGTTGGTCTTAAACTTGAACACACAGAGACCTATTTTCTTCTGCCTCCTGGGTATGGGGATTAAAGGTGTATACTAGTACACAAGCAAGTTCCAGATTTTGTAAGGAGGATGACCTTTAACTTCTGTGAAGGAGGCCTGAGTGTTGTGTTGGACAGCCTCACCCTTGCCATGTCAGTTTACCACAATGAACCTTTGAGCGGTTTTCTGATCCATGTGGCTCTTCTCTTTGTTCATAGGGGATCGTTAATCTTTGTCCACCTCTGAAGTCTTGAAGAAGCTCCCTATCAAGGAGGATCAAACAGCAGTCTCTGTCAGTTAGAGAATGGACCGTTTGGGTTCCTTTAGCAGTAAGTACAGTGGGACAAGTCTCAAGTGAAGAATAGCAAACTAAAGTAGCAGCTGATCAAGGAAGCAACGCCTTTGAGGTTGAATGAGAATGCCTGAAGGAATGATGAATATCACCTAAAAGTGAAATCAGGCAATACCTATTGTTTGCCTACAGAATAGGACACAGATATATCACTCTATGTCTTAGAATAAAACCAAGCTGAGTGAACCAGCTACCATATAAATAGTCTGTAAATAAACATTTTTATTTTGAACCCAGGGTTTCATGTAGCTTGGGCTGGTTTGGAACTGACTTTGTAGCTAAAGATGACCTTGAACTTCTTGTTCTCCCAAGCTTGGGGATTTCATACATACATGTAGCATCACTGGATTTCACAGAAATAGAAATCACAAAATTAGGCGATGCACACTTGTGCATGTACAGACACATGTACACATGCACAATCATGAAGCAGATGTTCATTAATATCCCAGTAAGAACTAGAAATGTATTTTTTAGGTGTTTTTTTTTTTTTTTTTTTTTTTTTTTTGTCATTTTCTTAAAGGCATTCGGTTTTCCCTACATATATTTAGAAACTCAGAATCTTCTTCTACATCTACTTCTCCATTTTCATTTTACTAATGCGCCAAGTGCAAACTGAAACTGCTTCCACCTCTTTTTGTTTTTGTTTATTCAAGACAGAGTTTTTCTGTGTAGCTGAGTTAGCTGCCCTGGAACGCTCTTTGTTAGACCAGGCTGGGCTCGAACTCACAGAGATCTGCCTGCCTCTGCCTTCTGAGTGCTGGGTTGAAAGGCCTGTGCCACCACTGCCTCCTCTACTTCCACCTTTTAAAACACAGTTGTTAGGGCCTATCGTGATGGCACATTCCTTTAATCCCAGAACTCAGGAGACAGAAGCAAGGCAACTCTTTGTGAGTTCAAGGCCAGCCTAATCTACATACTGAGTTTCAGGCCAGTCTGGGCTACATAGTGAGATCCTGCCTCAAAAAAAAACAAAAAACAAAAAACAAAAAAAAAAAAACAACTAAAAACCAAACAACAAGAACAAAACAAAAGCAAAAACAAAAATAAACACAAATAATAAAAATTATTTATACTTTTGTTTAGCCACTCCTAAATTCCCCTTCAAATAAGCTGTACTGTTTTCCATTACCACCTGGCCCATTTCCCAGTGGTGCTACAAAAGTTCTTATCAAGCTTTGATTTTTTTTCTCATCTGCTAGTGAGAAATTACATATTAGTGTAATTTTAATTTTTATTTCTCCTTATGAACAAAGGAAAATAATTTTTCCTGTGTTTAAGACCATTTTTATATCTCTCCTCCCCAGCCCAACTCTGTTTTATTCATTTTTTGTTCTTGAGGGAAATTCTCACTTTGTTGCTCAGGCTGGTTTTAAGTTCAATTTCTTGGTCCTAAATGAATCTCCTTAGCCTCAGCTTCTTAGTATTTGGGACTTGAGGAATGCACCACCATTTCTGGTTGTGTTTTGTTCTCTTCTCTTTGGGTTTTTTGAGACAGGGTCTTGGTATATAGCCCTGGATGGCATGGAACTTAATATCTGGCTCAGGCAGTTGTTGAACACACAGCAATCCCTCCTCAGCCTCCCCAGAATGTACAAGTGTGATTCACAGCAACAGTGTGGTTCTCCCATTTGTGTTTTGTTTGGTGCTGTGACTCAAACTTGGGGCCCCGGGAATGTCAGGAAAATCTTTTATATTAAGAATTTCAGGTGTTGGAGAGGTGGCTCCGTGGTTAAGATCACTGGCTGCTCTTCCAGAGGACCTGGGTTCAGCCATCGTCACCCACATGGGGGCTCACAGCTGTATGTAACTCCAGTCCCAGGGAATCTGATTCCACTTGGCCTCCACAAGCACTGCATGTGCATGGCCTACAGACATTCATGGGGCCGAAACACTCATACAAATAAAGATTGAAAATTTTAAAATAAACCTTCAGCCTTTTTCTCTCATAAAACTTTTTTACAAAAACTTTCTTCTGGTTTACCTGTTTTACAACTTTTGTTTATAGTGGTTTTGTTTTTGTAAAGATTTATTTGTGTGGATGTGTGTTTGACTGTGTGAGTTTCTTTGTGCTATCTTTACAGGAGCCCATGAAGGCCAGAAAAAGGTTTGGGATCACCTGGAACTGGAGCTAGAGATTTGTGGGTACTGGGAACTGAACCCAGGTGTCCTGCAAGAACAATAAACATTCTTAAGCACTAAGCCATATTTTCAGCCCTGTTTGTAGTGTTTTTGTTTTTAAGATTTTTTTTTAATATGTATGAGTGTTTTCTTTCTTGTATATCTGTGCACCACATGCATGCTTGATGCCTTCAGATGGTGTGAGCTGCTATATGGATGCGGGGAATTGGACCATGGTCCTCTGGAAGAATAGCCACTGCTGTTAACTGCTGAAGCAATTTCTCCAGCTCCAAAGATTTAATTTTTAAGTGTGTGTGTATATATCTGTGTGGGAGCATGTGCCTGAGGAGGCCAGAAGAAGGTGTCAAGATCCCCAGGACCTGATGTTACAGGTTATGAGCCACCTAGTGTGGGTTGTGGGGCCCAAACTTCAGTCCTCTAGAAGAGCATTATATGCTCTGAACCTCTGAGCCTTCTCTCCAGCCCACCTATAGTGTTTTTATTCATTTAGTCACATTGTTTGTTTGGTTTTGGTTTTTCTAGACAGGGTGTCTCTGTAACCCTAGCTGTCCTAGAACTCACTTTGTACACCAACTGGCCTCGAACTCACAGAGATCTTCATGTCTCTGCCTCCCAAGTGCTGTGATTATAGACATGCACCACTGTTGCCTGTCTAATTTGGTCACATTCTTTAAATTTTTATTTCCTCAGATTTTATTTATTTATTTTTATTGCTTTTAAATATATGTGTACTGGTCTGTACACATGAGTGTGGGTACCCATGAAGGCCAGGCAGAGATATCATATCCCCTGCAGCTGGAATTACAGGTGGTTGTGATATATGGATATATGAGTGTGCTTTAGAACATTCCTGCCCAACACATACACACAAAGTGAATAAATAAATGTAACTAAAATAAATAAACCCTCAAAACCCTGAATCAGTCCTCTGTGCACTCAATAATTCTAGTTTTAGGAAAATACATGGAGAAGGGGATATATATATGAAAGATACTGAAAGTAAACATGGCCCCTAGTAGGGAACTGGTTAGATTAGTTCTCAACTTTTTAGACCCAATTATTTTTTATATTTTTTAAGTCTTTTATTAATTGAAAATGGAATATGTAGTTCTGTGATTTCAAAGATAAAAATAATCCTGTAATAAAAGGAGTAATTTTTAATGAAATAATATAATTCATAGTAAAATAGCAAGTACGTTGATAGGTTTTTAAGACATGATTACAGCCAGATGTGATGGCACATACTTGTAACCTCAGCACTTGGGAGGCTGAGGCAGAAGGATTGTCTCCAGTTCAAGGGATAGACCAAGTTACAGAGTCAAGCCTTGTCATAAAAGTGGGAGTGAAAGGATAGGGGACAGGACATGAAAGCAGTAGGAGACATGATGACGTAAGTAGTCAGCTGCTCAGACTCATAGGTTGAACCACGGCATCTTGCTATGAGAAACGCAGGATGATTCAGGGTGCTAGTGACTAAGAAATGCTACAAGTCTTAAGAAGTTTTGACCACAGGGTCAAGTTCTGAACAAAACAGAATGCAGCCTCTTCTTGAACGGTGTACAACTGTCATACTAGAGTATTCAAATATATTAAAACTGTCAAGATTTCGTTGCAACAGGGTCTCACTGGGTAGCTCTGGCTGGTGTGTATCTCATAAAGATTTGTCTGCTTTTCTCCTGAATGCTGGGATTAAAGGCATCTACCACCATACCTAGCAGTCAAAAATATTTTAATTGGGGCTAGGACTATAGCTCAGTGGTTACTGTTGCATATCTGCTTGGCTAACATATACCAGGTCCTGGGTCAGATCTCCAACGCTGCCAAACAATTTTTTTTACATGTAATATAAAAATAGGTTCTACTTCATATAATTGTGAGGTTTATTTTTCTATCTAGTTGAATATTTAATAAGAATTGAAAGTTGCTAAGGATTTAAGTCAGGGCTTTTTGTTTTGTTTTGCTGTGTAGGAAGGAATAGCTTGAGTACTTAAGAACATCTAGAATAGCTGGGCGCACTGGCACACACAAGCCTGCAATCCCAGCACTTGGGGAGGCAGAGGCAGGCGGATCTCTGTGAGTTTGAGACCAGCTTCGTCTACAAAGCAAGTCCAGCACAGCCAAGGCTACACAGAAAAACCCTGTCTTGAAAAAAACCAAAACAGAAAACATCTAGAATCCCAGTCCTTATCTGCAAAATGTTATTAGTACATCCTAATCACTAGCAGCAAAAACCTGCCTTGGATTTTCAAAATGTCCTAGGGGCTAATATAGAACCATCAGGTTAGTTAATTGATAAAGTGAACTGCTAAAAAAGATAGGGAAGGATCAGCAAGATGGCTCAAGCCTGAGGACCTGAGTTCAATCCCTTTTCTTCTGACTCCTATATGCTGTTGCGCGTATATACACACACATACATACAAAATACATAAATAAATAATAAAATATAAGGCGAAAAAGGCAAGATCTATGGTGGTGACATGGGAATGACTTGGGCCTAGGAATTCAGGGTCAGCTTTGACAACTTAGAGTCTGTCTCTTGAAAGTAAAAATAAAGCAAGAGTTAAGGAGATGGTGATGTGGTAAAGATTGGCATCTGGGACTGGAGACATGGCTTATCATTAAGGTATTCTGCTCTTGCAGGGGGGGCTGCAGTTTAGTTCCCAGCAAGCAGGTCAGGTAACTCCAGCTCCAGGGGATCTGGCACCCTCTTCTGGCCTCCATAAGCACCTGCGCTCACACGTGTATACCACGCACAGACATACAAACAGACATAATTTTTTTAAGTTGACATCTAGCACTTCATACTTTATTTTTCCACCAGAAGTGGTAGGTGTTAAGTGCAAAGAAAGTGAGTCTCTCTATCTCCCTCCCAAGGCCTTTATCCTACGTTTCTTTGGGTAATCCCAGAGCACAGTTAGTTGCCCTGACTTCAGAGGGACAGGATTTGGGGTGACCTGGAGCAAACCCAGCAAACCTATCTGCATTCTTAGGGATTTGGAGAACTTAACATTGTGCCGTTTGTCTTTGTAGTTCAGAGACATACCTGTTTCACAGAACAAGAGCAGATTTGCATGAAGTATTTTGCTTTTTCCTTGGTATAAACCTCAACCTAGACTCAAGGCTTAAATCCCAATTTGGAATTCCCCCAACTTGTTAAGAAAAAAAGCCAAACTTGTAGGGAAGTTGAAAAAGCAGGGCAGTGACTTCATGTGTGTTGCTGCCTAGATAGAACAGTTGTTAGTGTTTCTTTGGTTTGCTTTGTATGTATGTAGTAGCGTAGTGCTGTGTCGGGAATGTGCCCGGTTTCTTTTCCTTGTGGCAGAGTGGGCTTTGTAAAACTTTAAAGTTCTGTTCGTAAGTTTCTCTTTGCACACATGTTTGAAGCAGTAGGTATGCTGAAGGAAGGAACACATTACCATGTAATAGACAGGCTCTAGTGTGTGTGTGTGTGTGTGTGTTTAATAAGCTCACCCGCTTCCATGTATTTGTTGGCACAGTCACTGTCCAGCTGTTTGCAGAGTTTTACCTTTTTCTTTTAGCGCTATTCATGAGGTATTTTAAACTTACCTTTGTTTTCTCTGTATTCTAGATGATCCATCTGATAAGCCACCTTGCAGAGGCTGCTCCTCCTACCTCATGGAACCGTACATCAAGTGTGCCGAATGCGGGCCTCCTCCTTTCTTCCTGTGTTTGCAGGTAACCCCCTGAGGAGAGGGTGTTGCTCCTGAAGGTTTTGTGGCAGCAGTAACTTATAGGACCATACTGCGTGAGGTACTCATCCCTCTCAGACTTTACCAAGAAGTAAACAGCAGATGGATGAGACAGACAGTTCGTAGAGCTTCTCAACTTAATGCTTACCACTTTTCCTGAGTAAATTTAAAGTACTTAGATTATGGGAATCAGAACTGGCAGGTTGTTCCTTTTGATCTCACTGTTTGTTAACTTGTTAAAGTGTTCTTTGTATAGATGGCAAGGGAACAAACGAACTGTTTGGAGGATTGTGTTATGACTGAGTATAAGTGTGCCAGGTACTACTTTGAGTACCCCACTTGAATCAGCACTAAATCATTACCACCGTGCTGTGAAGTGAATAAGTAAATACCTCCATTTTACAAATGAAACTCAGCCAAAGAAAGCCGAAATAATTGCTTGTTGGAACTATCAGGTCTTAACCCAGTCTAAGACACTTGATTATAAGATGCATTCCAGGGGTGGCAGAGATGGCTCCAAGTGTTTGCTGTGCATTTGTGAGGACCTGAGTTTGAATCCCTGTAAAACCTGGGCATAGTAGCATTTGCCTGTACCCTCATGCTGGGGAGAGCATGAAAATAGGGGGATCTTGGAGGTTTGCTAGCTGGCCAGACTAGCTGAATGATAAATTCTAGGTTCAGTGAGAGAATCTGTCTCAAAAAATGTAGGGGAGAGCAATAGAGGAAGATTCCTGGTGATGGTCTTTATAAGAGCATGCACAGGCGAGTGTGTCTACATTCTAACAGATGCACACATACACAGCATTCCAGTTTTAACACGTGGTGGCACAGGCCTTTAATCCCAAAACTTGGGAGGCAGAGACAGGCGGATCTTTGAGTTGGAGAATAGCCTAGTCTAAGGAGTGAGTTCCAGGACAGCTAGGACTATACAAACAGACTAGGGGAAAAAAAAAAAAAAAAAAAAAAAAAAATATA